TACAAAACATTTTTACAATGAACCAATGCATTGAAATTTTTGTTCAGTAATAGATACATGTATCCCATTGTGTCACTAAAATGTAAATTGTTTATGATTTTGAAAAGAGAACAAAGAATTCTCAAAAACCTTCTTGTTGTTATAATTACTAATCAGATGATCAAAGACCTCTAATCAATGAGATACAGACTATGTTTTGATTTCAATTATGTTTAATTAAATGAGAGATTTAATACATGTTGTTGCCCTAAGCTTATAAATTGTTCTCCATTGGCAATTTTATAACCTGTAATGGTGTGTTCCCATTTCACCTTAGCTGTGAATTCCAGGTAAAAAAGGTAAAAAAAATACTAAGGCGAGATGGGAATTGAACTAAGACGAAATGTGAATTTAGATAAAAATGTTAAATAAACAAATTAAACCTCTGTGTTTTTTTAACAATTTAAACAACATGTAATTAGGGATTTTTTTCTCTTTAAATATTATTTTTATATTAATTTAATAAAAGTGACCATGAAAAATCTACAACAAAAACATATCAGTAGGAAAGTTGTTTCTCTTGAAATATTGTTTGTTTCATTTAATAAAAGTTGAAATTTATGAATTTTATGCAATTAGAAAAATCTAAATAATTCAATTATCCTTAACATTTTGCAACACAAAAAGTTTAAAAGAACAGAAAAACATGTTTTCCCACAGACTTGTTTACATATATAACTGAAACTTTAATAAAAAAAAAAAAAAACTAGATGTGTGGGAATGATACCAAAATCTGAAGGAGTTTAGAAAAAAAGTCTGTATAATGGTTTGTTGCGGAATGACGGAATGACGGACAAGGGTAAAACTATATGGCACTGACAACTTTGTTGCGGGGCCATACAAAACTGTTGCTTTTTGCAATTGCCCAAGTACTAATGCACATTTCATTTATGAGGAATTAAACATATGAATGAAAGGAACGAATGTCATCTCTAATTACAAACAACAACAAAGACTGTATTTACAAAATATATCATATGTTAAAAAGTTTAAAAAAAAAAAAAAATATGAGCAACTATAAAAAGACTTATTCTAAAAGTGGGACAATTGAGAAGACACAAAAAAAACATCTTCTCTTAAAAAGTAATGCATGGCATATTTTGACATTAAAATCATAACAAATATCAAATAATTGCAATAAAAACAAAAAATAACTTAATTACATTGTTTACACAAGCTCCCATTTTGCCTTAGTTAATTCTTTTTTACCTGAAAATTTGTACTAAGGCCAATTGGGATTTATTTAATATAATGATTTTGACAGCTAAGGCGAAATGAGAATAAGCTCCTGTAATTAGGTGGATTATCCAAACAAAAGGATAAATTCATTCATGTAACTATAAACTATAAATTTCCATCTTTTAAAATAAGTTAAAAAACTAACTCTTCTTCTTTTTTATATATTTTTTTTTCATAGGAAACCTCTCATACTTATTAAATTCAAATATATCATCCTGTTATATAAGAGTAAATATCAAAATTAAGTCAGTATGACAGCAAAAATTTGCAAACTATGGACAAAATGACCTACAATATAAGGAAGCATTTGATACAATTGTCGATTTCATTTCAAGAATGTTCTCATATATAGATATAAGAAGATGTGGTATGAGTGCCAATGAGACAACTCTCAATCCAAGTCAAAATTTATAAAAGTAAACCATTATAAGTCATCGCTCACTCAAGAATATTTAAATAGTTTAGTTCCCCTCTAAGAGTGTCTATCTAGAAAACGATTTGAAAACATTTGACAACAATGCTTAAAAAGCTGTTTTTGTAAAGTTCCAAATTACCACTCTATATAAGTTGTGTTTAAACTTTCTTCAATATAAGTAATTGATAATAATCGAAAAGTAATGTAATTACTTTTGATAAAGTAATCGATTGGAATCGATTACATACAAAATTCAGAGTAATCGATTAATAATCGATTGCACAAAAATCCTTCATGTAATCGATTATTAATCGATTACATTTGTCAGTAATCGTGCCCATCCCTGATATCTATTGATGTAAGCTCCCTTTACATTTTCATAAATTTCTAATATGACATTGAGAATTTATTGAACTTTATTTGTTTATAGTCTGACAACAGATTTACTAAGTATTGCACAACAGCACAGTGTATTGCACAACAGCAAGAAATCTGTAATTGAATATAAATTCAATTCATATAACCAATTTCAAGTTCTTTGACTACATTTATTCAGAAACCTATAATATGTCAAATATTTAATACAATCCAAATTCAGACCTGTATCAAGCTTGAATATTGTGTCCATTTTTGCCCCAACTGTTCAGGGTTGGACCTCTGCGGGCGTATCCAGCTGCGCTCAGCGAAGCAGTTTATTATATCTAAACTGGATGTTATCTTGACAATGGTAAAACATGGACCAGAGACGGATACGTAAATTCCGTGTACGTTTGCAAAGCATGAATGAGTGCAAGTAGCTCTTTCTACGTTATTTCTTCAAGAAAATATTCGAAATAAACGTGAGATAAAGGTATCAATGACAATTTAAGCATTTTTTGAAGAAATTAGGATGCATAATTAAATTTCACACCTGCGCACACATGTACTAGTTCAAACAGAGACATGTCTCTGGTTCAAACAACGTGGTTATGGCGATTTTTCATTTTCACCTTTTTAATTTTTTCATCAAATCATATTTGTAAACGTTTTTCTGATAATTTAAATCTTTTTAACTAAATTAATTAGATGCAAACCGCTGAAATGTAAGAAAATAACTTTAAATAGACCGATCAATGTCCGGTTCAAAATAGTTTACCTGTCACCTGAACAGGTAAATTTCAGCTGTTCGACAACTAATTAGCCTTGATTAAAATGAGAAGGTATTAAAGTAGGAGTTGTTTTGATAGTACTTAATGATCATGTCACTTTTATGACCGGAAATGTGTGGCTGTTAAAGGCAAAAGGTTGGGTCAAAAAGATCTCGAATTATGTTAAAATGACCGTCTCTTAAGCCTTGAAAACTAAAAAGTAGTGTTTCATGCTTTGCCCAGCCGGACTTTTACCAGACATTATACAAATGTCCGGAATATATGACCGTTTTGGAAGCATTGGTAAGAAGTGCTGTCAGAATTTCTACAAAATTGAAATGGCAAAGTAGATGGACAATCAGTGAAACAGGAAGACAACTTTTCAATCTAGTACCAATTGTTGGGAAGGATGTACAACTTGACACACCAAACCCCCAAATAGGAAGAATATTGTCAGAACTGAGAACAGGTTACAGCAGATTACATAAATACCAAAACCAAATAGGCCAATCCCTCACGCCATATTGTGAACATAGTTGCCAACTGACATGATATTCGCATGTAATACACGCTTTTTCAACGGTTTACACGCGAGGATTTTGTCACATGGCGTGTACACGCTTTTCACCAATTTACATGCAATTACACGTTTTTTCGTTGTTTTGATTTTTTGGTCGTTAGTGATATCGCGATTCTCAGGTTTTTCATTATTAGACGATAAATACCAAAATTTCTAAATAATTGTTTGGTCGCCATTGTTTATTTTTCTATATGGACGAACAGCAAAAAGCACTTAAGGTAAGTAGTTTGTGATTAGTTTTTTATGATTTTATGACTTTCTTTCTTTCAAATTCACGTAGGGGAAATGTCCACAGAGAGAGGTCACTTTCAGGACCTGTACCGTTGTCTAAAGAGCCGATTGTTAAGTGAAAACGATGTGTACGTATAAGATTCAAGATTTATAAATTATATTTGGGAGTTCCAGTTTAAATGATCACGGGACGAGTAACGCATTGTGCACCCTATGTTGCAATCATAACAATACATGTAAGAGAAGAACTACAATGTAGCTATTTGATTAAGCATTTAACGTGTTTAATGGTAATCAAATAATAAAATATTTTTCTTTTTCAGTTTCAAATCTAGCCAACAGATTTCCACAGGCCATAGGGGATGGAAATATCACAGAACTGTTGGATCAGTTCTCATAGTACCAGCTGTTTTCTGATGAACTACATTGTACCTAGTTTTGACCAGGCAATAGCAACATATATAGTTTGTTGGGAGCAATGGCAGAGATAATAGATGACATTTTAGATGGCAAAAAAACGTTATGACACTCTTTCAAAGCTTGATAAAGCTATTTTAGTTCAGCCAAACTGGCAGTTGTTTTGAATTTGTACCTAGTGGTGTTGCTTTAAAAGCAGCAAAACAGACCACTGTTGAATACAATAAAAGTTTATAGTAGAATATTGTTTTTTATATTAACAAATTTGTATAATGTAAAGTTATGAATATTGAACATATTAAAAAGTCTGCATCTACATCGCACATTTTCACTCGCTTTTTGACATGTCATGACATGATTTCTCATTGTTAGAGGTTGGCAAGTATGATTGTGTATGTTGCGAAGAAGAAACAACAGAACATTTCTTACTATGACTGCCCAAGAAACCAACAGGAAAGAGAAGACATGCTTAGACATATGGAAATAATGAACATCCCATAAAATCAATATTGTCACCACCAAAGAGAGAAGCATACAAAGCAACAGCTCAAATTGTAAGAGAATATTTAGCAAGATCAAGGAAATTCAAGAACTGGCAAGCCCTGAATCCCAATGTTGCGCCTAAACAAATTTTCTAAGGTACCGTAAGCAATCTCCTTGATCAACGATGTACCATAAGAGGAAACAAAATAGTACAGAGGGACAAGTTGTGTCAAATTTGACCTTAATATCATTATCTAAATGCAAATTCAGTCTTCAAATGATATAAATACATTTTTGGCCACCTTAAATCAACTTAACCAAGTATGGCTGAAACAACTGTGGCCAAAAATGTCTTGCCGATAGTTAAAAGTTTTAAATCAATATACATCTAGACTAAAACTAGGGTGAATGTGAAACAATGGAAGGATTTTTTTGTGAGTTTTTGAATTTCAAGACAGTCACGGCTTACCTTTTGAATTTGTGCTTGGTTGGGTTGTCCTTTCTTCTGCTGAGGCTGAACAAATGCTAGTGACATGATAACTATACCAAAAAGAGAGTTCAGGTAGCTTTGTCAATTTTTTTCCTTAAATTTTTAACCGCGTCAAACTGGTCCGCAGTTAATAGAGATAAAATTGTATTTTTAAGGAAGCCAAGACGGGATTTATTTCCGTAATTTTTTTCACAAGAAACTGGACTTCCAACCCGGGACTTCCAATAATAGTGAGAGGCAGTAGGAGGGGGTGTCATCCCGAATTCCCAAAAAAAAAGTATTCTTTCCCGAACACCGATGAATTAATCATTTATTCCCGAGTCGCGATGAGTGTAAATCCCGAATTCTCGCGAAATAAAGGCCCGACCCGAATTCCCGGAAAAATAAAGGCCAAATCCAGACGTCCCTTCCGTCCCTCAATAATAATAATAATAATAATAATAATAATAATAATAATAATAATAATAAAACCGCAATACGGTAGCATCCGTTTAGGCAGCAACCCTTTATCAAGGAAATCATGATAGGAAACGCAAACTCTGGAATATCGTTTCAACTTGGAGATATATATCCATTATGCAGGCGTTGCTGGAATGTTGCTACATTTAGAAATATTTATTCAAGATAAAAGGCATGAATTTGACAGACACAATAAACATCATGAATAGGATTTCACAGTTACATACACTAAAATGATTTACAGTTATGATCACTAAAAAGTTATAATTCAAAAAATAAAATTATGGAAATGGTCATTATTTTGATATTTGACTGACTAGATTTTAATATATATTATATATATATATATATTTAAATGGACTAGATTTTCACTGCAGCCTAATACCTTAGGATGACCAACAAAAGTTAATGAATCTTAGTTCCAGTGGGGTCCTTTAGGTTGTATTCCAACTAAATTTTAAGTCTGGCGTATCAAATTTTAATTCTGATATCCGCTTTGATGAGTTTAATCATTATATCTAAATTTGATTTAATAATCAAACTATTATTCAGCGTAGCGCTGTTGAAGACAATATTTCAAATTTTACTTGTTTTTGTAAATTTCATGTATATCTAAAGGTAAAAATTTAGCTCTTACATTGTTGAAAAAGGTACATTTAAATAAGTAATGAAACTCATCACCAAGTTCATTAGCATTATAGAGATTACGATGTCTTTCAGTTCTATCAATATTAAAAAATATGCCAGTTTCAATTGGCAATTTATTACTAATATAAAAATAAGGAGATGTGGTATGATATTGCCAATGAGACAACTATCCAGTAAAGTTCAAATGAAGTGGATTTAAGCAATTAAAGGCAACCGTACGGCCTTCAACAATGAGAAAAACCCATACCGTATAGTCAGCTATAAAAGGCCCCGACATAAAAAAAATATGAAACAATTCAATTGAGAAAACTAACGGCCTAATTTATAAAACTACAATTTACGAAAAACAAATATGACAGACTTGAACCAACGACAACTACTGAACTACAGGCTCCTGACTTGGGACAGGCACATAAAGAATGTGGCGGGGTTAAACATGTTTGTGAGCGCTCAACCCTCTCCCTAACCTGGGACAGTGGTGCAACAGCACAAAATTAGAACAAACTATAAAAATCAGTTGAAAAAGGCTTCTCTTCAGATCGATACAAAGAAAAACATCAAACAAAAACACAGACAGGACGTGGCAGGGTATTTATTCATCCCTCATCCCTAACAACAAAAAATACACTAAGTACAGACCTGAGAGTACTCGCAGTTACTGCCAGCTAGTTCAAAGCCAATAACAACTAATAAACAAAATCAAGTATCTAAGACTTAAATTTCAATCAGTTCACATCCAACATCCAGGCAACCAAAGTACCGGTTTAACCAATATAATTCTGAGTTATGCCGCTTTGTCCGACGAATATCAGTGAACGTTGCTTGTCTTTGCAAACTGCATAGAAAAGGTCACAAAATTTAAATTAAACACAAGCACATTGGTTAAAAAGTTGGAATGCCTACATGTTGGGACGCAACAGCTGTGAAATAAAACAACAGAAAAAGTATACAGATAAAGTCATGATAGAATAGTAGTTTATTTGCAACTCGTGGGCCTTTCGCGGTTGGACAATGATACCGATGCTAGTATTCAGTGCATCATCGCTTTGTATCGGTTTAGAAATGGTGATTACCCTTTTGTACAATATTGAGTTCCCTTCGTCCAGTTGAGGAACACGATTTTTAAAAATCAATGTTGTTGTGTTTGCACTAATTTTCAAGAAATCTACAAATTTATATTCAAAATTAATTTAAAACAAAACCATGTACGCTTCTCCCCCAAAAACGATGTGTCTAAAGATACAGTTTAACATTTCCAAACGAGTATGTGTTGTTCAAATAAACTCGATCTACAATTTTGATATTTTTCTCTTTGACTTGTTTAACGATTTTTAGGCGACACGCCTACCTATACACTTGTTTGGGCCTGAGTATAATATATATAATAAATTTGAGGGGACAATAATGATTATCAAACTTTAAGGCGTTATATGCTGTCTGTCCCACGATCTTCAATTGTTTAAATTGAAACACTACGGTGTTGTTGGTAATGTATTTAATTCATAATGAATAAACTGCATGGGTAAAAGAACAACAATGTGTGAATGAAAGCCAATAGATATCAAATAAATTATGGCCTATTTATTGATAATCTTTTCAAGACACCTCTTGAAGAAGAGAGGCGAAAGATACCAAAGGGATATTCAAACTCATAAGTCGTAAACAAACGGACAATGCCATGGCATAAAACGAAAAACAACGAAAAGGCAGTATTTTTCACCAAAAACTTATCATTAATGATATTTATTTGTGATTAGAGTTATGAAAAATAAGTGATCTTAATTCTAAATAAATAACTGTTTGAGGTGGACCACCCTCCTCCAACATTCACAAAACACAGTTCTCGGACACTTGGATCACAAAAAATAACATTTAACACATTGCTGGCTTTTCCTAGGAAAACGTAGCTTTTGGAGGATTATACATGTCTGATAGACACACAAATAAGGTCAATGTCTGTTCTGTTATATAGATACAATGGATAAGCGGGGATTCTTGAAAAAGAAACCATGAGCCCGGAGGGCGAATGGTTTGTTTTTCATGAATCTACGCTTATCCATTGTATCTATAACTTAAACTATTGTGTTAATTTCTTTTCAAAATTAAAGCCTTTTCTTAATTAGAAGGTATTGTAAGTGAGTTTAAATAACCATGTTATCGTGTCCAACGATGCATTGATAAATCTCAGATCACAATTAATTGGTTAACAAAATACAAACATAACACTTCTACCTTTAAAGATCTTTATATTACCAGGCATATAAATATAAACAAAATAAGACATAATAGAAATTATTTCTAATAAAATTAAAATGGAAATGGGGAACGTGTCAAAGAGACAACAACCCGACCAAAAAGAATATATAAAGTATATATAATAAGTGTGTTATCGAACAATGGTTTAACTTGTGGGAAATGAGTGACATAGCTATTTGATTTATGAATGTAGTTGGCTGATTTGGTTTTACCTCATTGTCAGTGGAAACCAATATCAATGCCAAAAATAAGGACCAAAATCAGTTAGTTAACTATTCTACCGTATATAAAAATAACATCCCATACGAGTTAGAATGCAACATACGTTAGACAGGCTAGGCCCAACAGTGTCTTATTCAAGTTCTCATGCTGATGCAGTTTTTATCCACATCCTTTCAATATATATAGGACTCGGAGGTGCGATGGGGACGCTGAAAAGCGATGGTCACTCTGAAGTTCGATGTTCGCCGAAGTTTAATGGTCCTTTCGCTAGTGTGCGATAGTCTAGATGGAGTGTGATCTAGTTTTAAATCAACAGATATGCAATTATTATGAAAAGTAGATTTGTTTTATTAGTTTGTATTAGTTAGTATATCATTTGCATTCAGTATTGTCCATAAAACATTTATGGCTTTTTGGTATCAATGATATGTCTATACATGGTTGAAATAAAACAATCGGCAAAAGAATTATCATCCTGTAATAAGCCTGTTTACCATACAAATTAGAATTGTGTGATAATCGTATACTGTTTGAATATCATCTGTTAGTACCCTGCTAATATTATAGTTTCATATATACCTTTAATGTACGTGCCTTTGAACAGTGTTTGCAACATTTGAAATGCAAGAATATATTTCATATTATGTATGTCCTTAGTTACAGTTTCATACAAAATGAGCTATCGATTTATTTAATTTTGCTGCATACTCTCGATGATTTACTTATTAACATGAAATGCTGCTTCTAACAAACAAATTGACGTCTACATCGAAATGTAAACATGAACAACTTTGAAATTTGGTTTATGTAATCCATCGCACTTCAGCATAACCACCAACGCACTTCGGTGTAGCCTAGCTATCAAGAAGATAGCGTCACAATGCAACCATCGCATTTCAGCGTTATTAAAAACGCACTACAGTTTCAAATCATCAGACTTCAGCGTTACCATCGCGGTTCAGAGTACGATCGTGATTCAGAGTCCTACATATTTAAGGACCATTCTAATCCAGCTTATATTTCTAGGGCGGATGAATTGTATTTATGAATACTTGTAGAATATTTTGAAAAAATGGAAAATAAATCAGTCTGCAGGGACCTTGGAAAAGTGGGAGAGAAGATATCAAAGGGCAATAAAAAGTCGAAGAAAAACAGACGACACTATGCCAAAATTAAAACGGCGAAAAGACGAATAACAGTCAAGAAAACATTACAAAGATCTTGAACAATATGAACCTCACCAAAACCGGGGGTGAACTCGTGTGTTCCGAAAGGATAATCCGATCCTACTCTACCAGTGGCACCTTCATGGCAAAAAAAAAATCTGGCGATAAGTTGCATTCGGTGATGTCACATTCGAGGAAAAGAGAAGGGAATACTGCTTGCGAGAGGGGAACATGTTCATGATCATATCATGATGCTGACTAGGTGCACGTGGATATGACAAAGACTGCTCAATACAACCGCACAGATTCAACTTCATATAAATCGTCATAGACATCTTCTCAAAATTCTTATGACTGAAAACGTTAAATATTA